CCAGCATCTGCAGTTCCTACTATCTCTGAAAAGTGGTATAACTTGCCTCTCGCCCCCAATCTGTTATAAAGGAGTGGTTAAATGAAATAAACTCCTTAACCTCACACTACAATCAAGAAGTAACAATTTATTGAGCTAATTCTAACAGTGAACAAATTAACTGAACTATTAACAAACCAAACCATTCCCCTCTAACTACCTACTATTCTGGAATAAAACAAGATACCAATAGTATGCCGTTCCAATAAACGCAAGTCCCACTTATATAAACCAAAATTTAAAAAGAAAACTTAGTCTCTCGAAATTACAGCCAGGTTACATTTCCCTGAATGTTCTGTGCCTTCTCCGTTGATCTTCTGACAGGAATGTTCTTTCTATGAATTCTTCTGTCTGGAATATTAGCTAAGAGTGCCGTGGTACCTTTATTAATTAGGTGATGCTTTCTCTAAGAGCTGAGGGAGCTGATCTCTTAGCAGATGGCAGGTGGTTCTCTCCGGATTTTCCAAATGCCCTCATCTTTTATATGCTTGATGGCATATTAATTTCTTACAATAGGTCTTATGTTGTCAAAACCATCAGATTTAAATTTAATTGGTTTTTGGTATGTAAGGACCTGGTTTAAACTAACTGGCTAAATTCAAATTTGTTGTCTTGATAAACTGCTGCTTTGCTTGCTAACAGTATAGCCTTTTGATACAAATCTTACAATTCAGATACTTGGTGCAAACTCACAAGCTGCCCACAGATCTTTATTTTCTCTCCAATCCTAGAAAAAGCACATAATCTTTTAAAGGGACCATGCACTGCCACCTCCCCCCACCTATCATTTTAAAAACACCGATATTTAAAAAAATCACCAAATTTTAACATCCTGCCTTCCAATCCACAAGTATTCTACCAAACTTTGCAACAAAAATAGGAGCAGGAGTAAGCCATTCGGCCTGTTGAGCCCACACCACCATTCAATGTGATCATGGCTGATCATGCAATCTCAGTGTCTCATTCCCGCTTTCTATCCCATTCCTGCTTTCTCTCCATACCCCTTGATCCAGTTAGCCATGTCCAGCTCCCTATTGAATATATCTAATCAACTGCCTGTGGGAGAGAATTCCATAGATTCACAACTCCGAGTGAAGAAATTAAATAGAGAGAATAATTCACAAGGATTCAGGGCCTTTATATCACTAGAGATGAACTGGCTTGTCAGGGGAATGGGAGCCCAAGCTGGAAAGGAGTTCGGGGCTGATAACTAATTGAATGGCTCTGAGGGAGACTAGAAGACAGAAGAAACAAAGCTGAGCTTGAATGTGGAAAGATGTAAAAAAGAAAAGTTGAGACCATTCTACCTGAATGCATGCATCATTCACAACAAACTAAGACAATGTAAATGCACAAATATTCTTGTTTCAATCATACAGGAGCTGGCTTAGACCACAGTTGGAGCACAGCAAATCTTCACTTGTGTGTGTGTGTCGCGAACTGTATGCGGTTTTGGTTTTATTATCTTAGGAAAGATGAGGTAAGTATAGATTGTCTTTGACATCAAGGCTGCATTTCACCAAGTGTGGAATCAAGAAGCCCAAGTGAAACTGGAATCAACGGGTATCTAGGTCAAACTCTCTGCTGGTTGGAGCCATACCTGGCACATAGGAAGATGGTTGTGGTTGTTGGAGGTGTTGTGATCAGAACAGACCCCCTGAAAATATATCAAGAAGGTAGCTTAGACCTCGACGTTTTCTTATTTTAAAAGGTAAATATGAGGTGCTGTGTTCCAGATGCAATTTGATTGGTCAAACTACTCGATGTTAAGCAAAACAAAATTTATCCAAATGCTGCAGTTAAAATACAACAAAAGAAAGAGGAACTTGGAATAACTTAACTCAATTGTAAAATTTAACAGAACAATAGATTATTTTACTACTAAACAGCAACTGTTCAAATTTAGTAACATCCCATAAACACATCCATGGCAAAAAGGCAAATTCAGAAAAGATTGTCTCACATGCAGTTCTCTAATCCAGGAGGAAAGAACATCAAAAGACAATTCCGAGAGAAAATGCAGAGAGACAGTATAGCAGCCGAGAGAGATTCACTTCCAACCCTGCTGAGACCACAGCAACAACTGCCAACAGCTCACTAAAAAACCTGGATCTGAGAGAGCTTGACCACACCCATTCAGACTGCTTTTATTATTCCAACTTTTTAAAAAAACCTTTGGGCCTCAAAAGTTGTTTATCATCTCATTGACTGCTCAGTACTTGTCCTCCAATTGCTCTCTAAAAAAAACCAGGACAAAGCACACCTGTTAAAAACACAACATTGTCAGAGATCAGTCATCTCAACTCTAGGACATCTCTGCAGGAGTTCCTCAGGGTAGTGTCCTAGACCCATCCACCTTCAGTTGCTTCCTCAATGACCTTCCCTCCATCATAAGGTCAGAAACTGGGATGTTCACTGATGATTGCATAATGGTCAGCACCATTCACGAGTCCTCAGATACTGAAGCAGTTCATGTTTAAACGCAACAAGATTTGAACTATGTCCAGGCTTGGGCTGACAAGTGGCAAGTAATATTCACACCACACAAATGTCAAGCAATGACCATCTCTAATAAGAGGTAATCTAACTCCCACCCTTTGACATTCAATAGTATCGCCATCACTGAATCCCCAACTATTAACATCCTGGGGGTCACCACTGACCAGTGACCACCATGGAACTATACTTGCCACGTAAGTGCAGCAGATGCAAGAGCAAGTCAGAAGCTGGGAATACTGCGGTGAGTAACTCACCTCCTGACTCCCCAAAGCCTGTCCACTATCTATAAGGCACAAGTCAGGAGTGTGATGGAATGCTCCCTGCTTGCCTGGATGGGTGCAGCTCCAATAACACTCAAGAAGCTCGACACCATCCAGGACAAAGCAGCCTGTTTGATTGGTACCACATCCACAAACATCCATTCTTTCATCCACTGACGCTCAGTACACATTGCTGCTACTATCTGCAAGATGCACTGCAGAAACGAAGGCTCTGTAGACTCTACCTTCCAAATCCATGACCATTATCATCTAGAAGGACAAAGTCAGCATTTTCATGCAACTAAGTCACTCATCATCCTGACTTGGAAATATATCGTTGTTCCTTCACTGTCGCTGGGTCACAATTCTGGAATTCTCTCCCCCAGGGCATGTGGATCAACCCACAGCACATGGACTGCAGTGGTTTGCACTTCTTCAGTGAATGGAGGAGAAATCTGGAAACTAATCCCCAAGCAACTGTTGAGTTAGGAGCCAATTTAAAAATTTCAAAACTGAGATTGATTGATCTTTGCTAGGAAGGGGTTTAAAGTCAAGGTGCATAGGAGTCATGATGGAACAGCCAAACAGACTCGAGGCGCTGAATGGTCTCCATCTGTTCATCAAGGTCAGCATCTGAATGATTTCCTAATCTCATCCTACCAAGGAGAAATAATAACTTCACATCAAATAAACACGCACACCATCCCTCTCCTGACTGTTGGTGCATTCAGCCCAGACGCCTGGTTGTCTCCCTCTGCCACTACACCACACCCCAATGCCTGACTTACCAGCACAGGTCGCAGAAGGGTGACAAACGTACAGAAGCGACTGCGTTCCTCAATCAGAGCCCGGCACACAGCCTGCTTCTCTGTCTCCTCCAGCAGCACATATTTTTCATTGACATCCTGTAAAGCTGTGTCCAACTGCAACCTCACTTCTTCCTTCCCTGTAACAGAGAAGGAACAGTAGCAGAACATCGTCCCAAGAGCTCATATTCGATCTATTGGTTTGGAACAGCAGCTGGTGTGTGTGGATAAACCAACATGATTCCCCACTATCTCATACACCATTGACACTTTCTCATCTCCAGCCAGTCTGGTTTTGTCAATACCACTCTCACCTCTGGGTCACCAGACCATGGGTTCAAGCTCCACGCCAGGTCTTCAGTTGATATTCTCAGTCAAAAATTTTGGAAGTCCCACCCTAACGGTTCTATTTTATAAAGGGTATAGAGACACAGGACAAGGTACAGAAAGGAGAGGTTATGATTAACAGTGAAGGCTATGGCTAGGACTGTTTCATCTAGAAACAAAGCAACTTAGGGCTGACCTAATAGAGATCTTTAGAATTATGGCAGGGTTTGATAGAGTTTATGTAAAGAAATGTTTTCAGTTGCAACAGAGACCAGATGTTGGGGCCATCAATATAAGAATCACCAAGAATTCCACTTGGAAATTCAGAAGAAATTTCTTTACCCAGAGATTAGCGAGACTATGGATGTTGTTCCCACAGCAAATGATTGAGGTGAATAGTATCGAGACATTTACAAGGAAGCTGGAGAAAGACATGAGGGAGAGAGGGAGAGGGGGATAGGATGATAGGCGGAGATAAAGCGGGGCTGTGATGAGTCTCATGTGGATCAGAAACACTGGAATGGACTAGTTGGGCAGAATGGCTTTGGGTTAACATAAACATCAACTCCTTCAGAATCATTGCTTGGCCAACAATCTTCACCACACGGACTTTTAAGAAAATGGTCACCTTCACCACTACCTTCTCAAGGGGCAAATAGAAATGGGCACTAAATTTCAGCTGGGTCAGCAATGCTCACAACTTGAGAATTAATACGAAAATCCTCTTGACTATCACTCTGGGTGGGATAGAGCTGGTGGTTTTGGGATGAGTTCTACAACTGAGGCTCCAGCTGACCAGGTCAGTTGTGAATGTGAAAGACACAAGGATAGTTAATGTTTGAAGAATTCTCCTGATATCCTGCTCACTGTTTCCCTTCAATCACCATCACAACCAAAACAAGACAGAATAGATTCTCCTCCGTTGCAATGATAGACACAGCTCAAAAGTATAGATTGGGAAGAGCTGATGAGAAGGTGTCACTGTGACAGTGAGCAGTGATGGACAGCAATTACTCACATACAGGAGGCAAAGGAAACCCTTGAATGAGTCGCTTAAAAAGGTCACGTCTAATGGGGCTGGCTCCTGAACCTCTGTTGATTTTGAGAAGGTGGACGAAAAGGAGCTGAGAGCAGGAGTTCCATTGCTCCTGCTTCAGGAATGCCAGCCTCTGTTACTTTGTAGGGAGGGGGTTGACCCAGTGCTTATAGGGAAGGAGCATGGCCAGGGGAAAGGAGGGGGCATTGAATTATCTTGCAGCTTGGGGAAAGGGTGTGGGTACCAGCTGTAGTCCTGATACCTGCACATCTGCCAATGTGGTATACTGCATCCACTGTACCCGGTGTGGCTTCCTCTACATCGGGGAAACCAAGCGGAGAC